AAAACTTGTGTCATTTCAAATTTTATGATACAATCCAACCATCCTTTTGATTAAATGATCTCATTCCAAACTTGATGCTAGATTATTTGACTTTGAGGAATTAGTAACTGTGACATTCCAAATTGAAACGTTGAAATAATTGTTTACTTAAGAAGCTCGTTGGTCTTGTTCTTAATTAAAAATTGATATCACATGACTAGATTATTGTAAGTGACTTGATTGTTGGTACTGTTCATTAAAATTGGACAATGATTATTCTCTTACAAATAAACTTAAGTTCATGACTCTTTGCAAATCAAACTGATGAGGCCTTGTTCATAATTTATGAGATTGGCTTAAAGCTTATTAACATAATATTATGATGCTTTATGACATTAAGCCAAAACAGACCACAAAAATGGATCCGATGTGCCTAAAAATCTTAAGATGGATTACCCCTGTAGCCAAAAACTAACCAAAATATTCCTCGGTTATTAACTGATGGAATATTTCTTTTCTGATTGATGCTTATTAACATGATATTATTATGCTTTATGACATTAAGCCAAATCAGGGCCCAAAAATGGATTCGGAGCGCCTAAAAACTATAAGATGGACTACCCTATAGCCGAAAACTCACCGAAATATTTAATAGTTATTGGAATATTCCTTCATGAAATACTCCCAACTGATGGAATATTTCTTTTATGGTGGAACTTTCCCTGATGGAGTATTCATTTTTTGATGAATATTGCCTGGTCAACAAAATATTCCTTGGCAAAATATTCCCTTTCTGATAGAATATTACCTAGCAACGACGTATTCCCTGTTCTGCTAGAATATTTTCGTGGAACATTCCTTTTCTCACTAGAATATTCTTTTCATAGGAAAACATACCTAAAACTTCAGATGATTGTATCTCCTTCGTCTGACATCTGTTTCAGACGAGTGACATCAAAACAACCGTCTTGACGAGTAGAATAAAGCCCAACAGGTTTCACATCTTAAAAATGGTTAAAATTTCTGGAATCTGAACCAAAAAGTTGTTGTTGTTGTATCTTCAAACTCTGATCCCGACAAGTCGAATCGCGAAAGTGATTACATCATTGAGTTCCTCTCGATGAGATCTTCGAACAGACATCTTACTCGCTTAAATCTGACACACGAAGCTAATACTTCAAGATTATTGGAGGTTATGAGTTAGAGAGAGAAAAATTTAGATGTTCTTGAAGTTAGGATGTGCAAAATATCCAATTGATCCAAACCACTTTAAAAACTGAATCAAACCAAATTAAAAAATTGATTTTTTTTTTTAAAATAGTTTAAAAAATATATCCAGTTTTAATTTGTTATAAAACCAGTTTTAATTTGATAGCCTATTTTTGATTCAAAATAGGTTTTGATTTAAAACTGGTTCAAAATCGGTTTTCAATCAAAACCAGTTATAATCCATAAACTGGTTTTGGAACCGGTTTGAAACCGGTTTCGGAAAATTAAAACTGATTTTTAAAATATAAAATCTGTTCAGTTTAAAAATCAAACCATTTAAAACCGGTTCGATTTGGTTTTTGAAAAAAACCAAATCGAACTGCTCCATACACATCCCTACTTGAAGTATTACACCAAGAGGCATGAGATTTAGAATGCTCAACAGTGTTACCTCCAGCTTAGGAAAATCCTAGAGATAGTGCAAGCTATTGGGCTCCTGCCTATATCAGGTCCAAATAATCATACTTTCATCTTTTGGGCTTGTACGTGAATTATTGGACTATATTATTAATATATCCAACAAAATTGATACGAGACTAATCCCGCACTTAACAAGTACTAGACTTAATAGGAGATGTGCCAATGAAATAAGATCCGCACCTATGGGATGATTAATGACAACCTGAATTTATATTTGAATCTAAATACATGCAATGATTAATGACATGATAGTTCTGCTAGATGAGTATAATTTTCAAAATTTCTTAAATCTGATATAATTGAACTGGCAGAAATCACAAAAATACAAAAAAAATGAAAATCACGAATAACCCCTTCCTTTGAATTAATCCACGATTATCATAACGTTTCTACTTTACTGGTTAAATTTGAAATCGAATCAACTTATCTCCTTTTTATCTTGTTTTTCACCTTGAAGTGGGGAACAAATTTCTGTTCTCTCTATGCTACGCTCAACAACAGGCTTACTAGGTTCCATAACATAGGGCATATGGGTTTGTTTCTTCTAGACACCCCATTTTAATTTTTTTATGTAAATGCTCATAACAATAGCTGGATTGGATGAAATGAGAAAAAAGCTTGAACCTTTTTTTGATGTTGAAGCGCCATTGAAGAGAGAGAAAGGGGAGGAGAGAGAAAGAGTGAGAAGCAGTGGAAAGAGAAAGGTAAAAGAGTTTATTTTGTATCATAAATCTCCACCGTTAGATGAGATTGTAATCTAACGGTATTGAGAGGAGTAGGCAAAATAAGGGTAGGCAAAATAACCTAAAAATATATTCCATGTAGATATTAAAACTTCAAAACGGAAAACCGAAGTCTAAAGTTTAACTTAAAATATGTCTTATACAATTATTAAATCTCAAGAATAAAATTTATAATGTTTAGGCCTAGTTTGAAATTTCTGAGATGCTATCTTCAATGCCCATTGCTAGCCCCAATCATTGAAACCTACTTCATTGAAGGTCTCTGCGCCCCCAAAGGATCATTACAACATACAAACACACAATCACAAACAGTATGCAAAAAGTTGATAATTCCAATCCAAAACACAATAACGATAGTCATAACTCAATTACTCATCATAATCAACTCAAGCATCAATCCAAATATGTCATTTACGTTTTTAATCTTATTTAGTTTTATTTAGTGGGAAGAAAACCACGGTAGACCCGGAAAACCTTGTTGCCAGCCTACTGACGTGACATAGGAAACCCTTTTGCCAACCACGTATAATCAAATTTGGCCATCATTAAAACATCAATTCCTTAGTGTGCACACATCTCCACCAAAGTTGCTACTAGTACTGGGAAAACCCTATTGCTAGGTACCACTTTGGGAAGAAAAGATAAACATCATAGGCATAAAGCCAAAATGTTATGTTCATCACTTTAAGGAGGTACTATCCCAAAAGTTATCTTCTAACTATTACCTTATCATACACAAATTAGGGAAACCCAATATTGTCACAAATCACATACTTCGAAAAACTTCTCAAAGAGTTTCATAATTTTCACATCAATGATATCCAGTATCTATCAGAGGTAAGATTCATATCACACATAATCAATTATCCAGTATCTATCAGAGACAAGATTTATATCACACATAATCAATTATCTAGCATCTCAACCTATTATCATTAAGGAATTAAGATTATACCCAAGAAAATTCATATATAATTATGATTTTCTAGAGATTAAAATAAAACCAGCAAAATTTTCAATAAAATTCATATATAAATAATCTTTGATTTTTTTAGAGGTTAAGATTAAACCCAATAAAATTCCCAACATAATTCATATATAACCAATCTACGATTCTCTAGGGATTAATATTACCCTATCCAGATCCAGGTAAAACTAAGCTATGAATTAGGATTATACTATCAAGATTCATTTAAAACTAATCAACGGATTAAGATTACACTATCAAGATTCATACAAAAACTAACCTTCGATACCCTAAGGATCAAGATTACATATAACAAATTTCATATAAAATTAACTTGTTATATGTAATGTGCAACTTGCAAGGATCAATGACTATCCCCACAAACTAACACGAGACTTTTCAGCGTGCTTTATCCTCACTCACACACTTATTGGGAAAACTTCCCAGGAGGTCACCTATCCCAGAATTGCTCCAAGTTAAGCACACTTGACTATGGAGTTCTTCCGTTCTGGGCTACCGAAAAGTAGATGAATTTTGTTAGTATAGGTAGTACCAATTAATTCTTATAAGCTATCCCTAACTGTACCGTCCCATACCAGCACAGTCTCTATAATCCCTCTCTTTGGGGTGTTGATTTGATTCATTCATATATCCCTAGCTGCAAGATTTGACATGAGCTGCTCATTGTCTGTGCCTCTTTTGCACCGGCGATCACTCCTTGCCCTTGCCAGCTCTTGGGATGTTACAGTACTCTTAGAATCAGGATTACATATATCAAATTTCATATGAAACTAACCTATGATGCCCCTAGGGATCGAGATTATCTGAACTCCATGTTTGAAAGCTTCCTTAAGTGAATAGTGATTCACGAGGGAAAACGTAGTTCACTACTAAGGGGGAAATAGTTGTAACAAAATTAAAAGAGTTAGGAATTGGGATAAAAGAACAAAAAGGAGAAGGAAATAGAAAGATGCATGGAATTGGAGAGAATATGAAAATAGTTTAATTTGTTATATTTAACTACTAATTATAGCTGAAATATTATAACGAAAAAATGACGTTAATTGCTGGTAATATTAAAACAGTTAAATAATTATTGATAGTAATCATAATTAATTCATATTTTAACAGTTACAAAACTAAATAATAAAAATAAATGTTGAACATTAAAAGTTTAACATTACCACCAATTAACATTACAATTTTATAATGAAATAATGATACACTGATAAACAATTAATGACAAACAATCTCAACATATAATGATATTGTTGTTATTATTATTATTATTATTATAATAATAATTATTAATTTTATTACTATTATTTTCCGTGGGTTATTACACATTCTCTCCTAATTTTGTGGAGGGAAAAAATATATAAAAAACCATCAAATATGCACCAAACTACAATTATTTCAATTAAAATAATACAAAATTATGTCTATTAAAATGTCAAACATTTTTTCGGATGACAAATGATTTTTCGGAGAACAACAAAAAGCACACCATCTCAAAATCCTAATGTACCAGTCTTTATTTAGTCAAAATAACACAGTTAAAATAACAATGAATGAGTTACAGCACAGCAATGAAAGGATATGAAAACAAGAGGAAATGGCCACACTCCCCTAATCCAGAGAAGGGAGATTCTATTATATACGATGAGAAAGAAATTTTATATTCAAATGTGAATGAGCTAAGAAACTTCTTAGAATGCACAAATTTATGTAGGTACAATCACCCCAGAATTGGGCAATAACTTTGATACAAAAAGCCAAACGACCATGAATAACAACGTCAACTGTAAGAAAAGGCATAATGTCAGCTTACATACTCTTTTCTGCATCATAAAAGTCTCCTCAATTCCTAAAATGTCACCACCATATTTTTCCAATTCATCTGCTCTGTTCTTCAACTTCGACTCCTTACCGTGTGCCTCTCCAAGCTTGTTCGAGACGTGCACTTGATTGCCAGACTGCCCAGATAGTGTTTCTTGTGTTTCCAATAACACAAAAGCTGATGTAACCTTCAAGTTCTGCATCATCTTTGTAACGACCAGGTATTCAATCTCAGCTTCAATCTTTTGCCGAAAAAGACTCAGAAGCTCAGATTCCACTTCTTCAAATTTTTCCTCTGATAAACCTATGGTGCAAGCATATTCTTCCTTAGGAAACTTACCATCACTCAGTGCTGTTTCAAGTTCAGCAATCTTGGAATCCTTAATGGCAATCATATCCTGTAATTCTTTTGATTTGCTTTCCAAAATATTTATATTTTTTGTCAAGCTCAATACCTTAAGTTCCAAGGAACTTGATGCAATTTGTTTAATCTCTTCCACAGCAGGCTGGGCAGATAAGCATGACTTATGGAATCCAAGATCAACAGCACTAACATCAGCAGTTGCACTGCTACACTTGGTTGAGTCATCATCAATTGAGAAAGGTTTATTCGCGATCACCCCGAATTTTTTTATCTCTGCACGAGTACACATAGATTGGATATAAGAGTTCACAAAATGCAATGACATAAACCGCACTGGATACTTCCATAAAACACAACTATTACAAGCGAATAAAACAATTTTTCTGCGGCTGAATTTTCCCATTGCTGGTTCAGGTCAGGTGTCATGTTCTAGAAAGCCCTCTGATTTCATTTAGATACCTAAGTTCTTGGATTTTTCAAAGATGAATTCAACTGAAGAAATTCATCTTCACAAAAAGTATAGAGATACTAAGGATTCCACTTCAAGAACATCAATACTTCAATTAGGATAGACTCCAAAACAATAACTTAAGCAGAATGACATGCTGAAATTTGATCAAGGAGAAGCAATATATAAAGCTTTGGCCAGGTTGACTTCTTCGATTAAGTACAATGTCAACAACACACATGCATTAATTGCTGGATAAATTTTCCAGGGGGATAAGGGGGCGAACCGGAGCAGTGATAAAACTGTTCCATCATGACTGAAAGGTCATGGGTTCGAATCCAGGAAACAAGGGTAAGAGCATTAATTTCCTCCACCCCACACTCGCTAGTCGGGTTTAACGGGGAGTTTTTTTTTTTTAAATTTTCCAGGGGGATCATTTTCCATATGCCTTTCTATTCATCAACATGCAAGAAGCATGTAGGACTACTGTTTCAAATAAGTGTGGTTGAATTATTGGATTCCCCAAGAATTTCCCAATTCACTAGACCATTAGAATTTAGCATCCAAAAATCATAAGGCATGAAATTTAAAATTTCTAAATCAAATATCAAGAATTTGAATGATGGAAAAGAAGAAAAACAAAAATGAATATCATTTTCCTTCAATGTAAAACCCCATTTCTGCGTGTCTATATTTATCAACATCAACATCAACAATACCTTTATCCCAAATTAATTGGGGTCGGTGGTAGATGAACCCACAATTATATTTATATATGTATATATTTATATGCTACTCTACAACTATGGCTCTCCACAAATACTGGGAATTATGTTAGGGCCAGTGCAGTCCGCCCTATAATCTAAGCCATGAGTGCAAATCAGTTATTTATCATTAGAATGGCCAAAATTGTAACAGACAACCTGTAGCATGTGACTGCAATCTGATAAGTATCAGAGTCCCAGAACAGAAAAGAAAGAACTGAAATTATATTGATAACGTTGAATCCAAATCAGACCCAACAATTTAAGTACATGATGTCTCACAGAAAAGGAAAATTACGGTAACGGTGGAAAAGAGATTTGCAGAAAAGAAAGATAAGCCTAGAAGAATTATAGTGCTTCTAGTCACTCCCATACACCAAAGGTGTCCCAATTCCAGTTTTCCCAAAAGCTAGACTCTCTAACTGATTCTCACTCTTCATACCCCCAAGTTTCCCTCTCACCCCATAACTGATTTGAGTGCCCACGTTCTCCTCCTTTGCTAAGTCAGCAATTGGATGAGCTTGATCCAACCCAATATAATCTAATGTTCTCCGGTAGAGCTGCCTACGGTATGTATACCTTATACTGAGGTGGGGTTCTATCACAATCCAAACTAGAATTTTCTTTTTCTTTCATGAAACAAACTCCTGTATGCATAAGACCCTTTCCAGTCAAATTTCCCATGATGTCAAAGGTTACTCTATATATTAAAACTTCAATCAGGTTTGAACTTTCAACCACATCTATCATAAGCACGTTACTATCCCCAAAGTCCTCAAGGCACCAATTATACCATAAGCAATTTCTGCAACATTAGAAAATAGCAAATAGCAACTTTGGTATTTAAATTGTATATCTATGTAACAATTTAGCCAAGCAGCATTCAATTTCAAAGAACATAAGTTAAAGAGATTCGATCAAGGATATTAAACATTTAGTAAACACGACAGCAGCAACAATTATTAACAGACAAGAATAATTTTTCATTAGAGTTACCGATATCATTTGCAAATTGGCCAGCAGCATAAAAACCTCACCAAAAAAAAAAAAAATCAAACTTGTTACAAACAAAATGGACAAACCTTCTTCAAGTGCCTCCTGTGCAGCCTGAAGGCTACGAATAGACTCAATTAAAGGATCCTCAACTGTTGAAGATTGATTCTGCTCACTTTTCTCTTGTAGAAGATCTTCATCTTCCCCCATGTTGTTGTAAGAACAACTGGCTTGAAAGTCCTCTGAGAAATGTTCGTAAGTATGCTCTTCATCACTGTTACCATCATCAGAATTATTCTGCCTGCCACTATATTCCCCATTACTAGTCACAGCAAAGATACCATCCTCAAAATTGGAGTTCCTTGAATCAGACTCAATGCTGGAATGAGAATTTTCCTTCTTCTTTCTGACTCTATCACTTCTATGCTTCTTTGTGCTCTCAACCTGTCCCTTTCCCTGTTGAACAACCCACTGAGCTGAGTTAGCTAAATTCTCAGAATCTACACACAAACTCAGATCCTTAACCATATCCCTCCTAATTCTCTTCCATTTCTTCAACCCACAGCCTTCTGATGCTCCTATGGGATGCACAGGTTCTTCACTATCTCTTCCCTTTTGATATGGTGACAACTCAAAGTTCTCATTAGCAAAAGAACCATCATTATCTCCTTCAGATTCTAGGGAGGAGGAACATTTACTTCCCAAATCCATAAATAACAAAACTAATTTAGACCAAGATCCCAAAAAAGCAAGACTTTTGATGGTTCTAGCTCACACCCATCCAAAAGAAAAATCTGGGCATAAATACAGATACCCATTTAGGCACATGTCATGAAATATGAATCCAATTGAATTGTAGTTCAAGCAACAACAAATTAAATCGGAGTTACATAGGAATTTCAAAAGTACCACAAATTCAGTTATTTTATTGGGATAGAAATGAATGGCTGAGAGAGGAACCGAAAGAAAAGAGGATCTAGAAAATGAGCAAATACCTCTGGCGTAATAAATGGACTGAAAAGCTAGGCTAGGCTAGGCTGTGGATGGATTTGCTCTTTTATGACAACGTGATCAAGATATTTGACTATTTATTTATTATTATAATTTCTTATAATTTTATCTTGATTTTTGTCAATGAATGGTTATTATTTTTGTAAATTAAACTAATTAATTAATTATTAATTTACAATAAATAATAACAGTTGATTGATCGAAATCAATAATATTAAAATATAATTATAAAAGGTTATAAAAAAAAATTGTAAATATATTTATTATCATATTATTATGGAAGGAATGACATAAGATTGTTTCCTTGTGTTTCTTTTTTACGTGTTGACCATTCGGGTAGTTCATACATAAATTAAGGTTATTTTTTTATTTATTTTTTTGGTAATCTAAGTTATTCTTTTTTATTTCTTTATTTGAAGTTGATTTGCTTATGAATGATTAAAATTATTTTTTATGATATAATTGTATTAAATCAGATGGGTGGATTCCATTCTTACGGAAGTAAATCTTTAGTTTAGTTTATAAAAGATATAATAAGTTATAGGGAAAAATGTTTATCCTTTTAAATGACAGAACTTATATATTTTCACTCTCATAAAAAGGTGGGACCCTCACCTTTTTTTTTGTCAACTCTCTTTTCTCCTTTATCTATCTCAATCTATCTCTTAAAATAACACAAATTTACATCCTTTAAAATAATACACATGTTTCCCTAAGTTATATTAGTATTAAAGGACAGATAGGATCACGTAAATTTTGCAAATATACATTTTGTTGGCTAAATTAGTCCATAATGTTAGAAAATTTTATTTTATAATGTTATTGTGGGCTATATATTTTATTTTTAATTATTTCATGTTATTTAATTTATTCGATAAAATAAACGATCAAAATAAAAAGTTCAAATAAATTCATAAATCAGTATGGGTTAAATGAGTGAATATTCGTTATCTCAAATAGATATTGATCAGACCAATACTATAATAGCCCGTTGTACACCGGTATTGTTAACATTAATTATGATATTAAGCGCAATTACAATCACAACAATGCATTTATAAAAATGCGAATAAACTTTTTCTGATTATTACGCTAGCATTTAAAACATAAAAAGCGTAATAATTAAAAGCTGTGACCGTAACCGTAAACTCTTGCGGAAGACTTATTTCAACTATTTTTATAACTTACTTTACTTATTATAAGTTACTAAGGGGTTCCCATAAACCCACTTAGTCAATTTCCAAACTTTACGTTTTTACCTATTCGGACATGTTTCACTCTTAATTTTTCTGCGACCACACCGCTCGCAACCAAATCTTCTTCTCAGATTACATCTTTGTCTTACTTAATTCCCTTTTTAACAAGCTATCACACGCTCAATTCAGAGCTCATTTGCTCCGGTTATCGCCGTTTGAAGTTGGATAAGCAAATAGCCAACCAACCCCAAAAACAGCTCCAAACCTCTCACATTACTCGAATTACTGCACTCAATCCACTCATCCATTTGCTCTCAAATTTTTATCCTACAAACTATACATCTCAAACTTCATTTTGATATATCACACGCTTAATCTGACTGAGAAACGAAGCGGGAATTAATTTCCCAAATCAGGTCCAGAACTGCCTCAGATGCAGTGGCACATGAGCAGTCCGCGTTCCTCCATTTTTTTCAGGTCGAAGACCAACCCAGATTTTTCCCAATTTTTGACACAAGGTAGAGGACATCTCAACCTTCGAAATGGCGTATGGAACGTCCCTATAGGACCTCTATGGAGGGAGATATACTCTCCCGAAGTTCGCCTAAAATTGCCAATTCTACAGAAAATTCGCCAGAGTTTCCTTTATTTTTCCAATAATCCCAAATTTGTACAAAATCATTTAAGCATCAAAGGTACCTAATAATCACATGATAATACAGTAATAATCCAATGGGTGGCACACACAAGGACCAACAACGCCTTGGGGCACTTACAACTCAATCCAGTTTATAGTTATTAAACATAGAGCTCATATTAATCATTCTTAAGTAGTTACAATCACTAACACCTTTTTCATGCATATTTCCATCATATATATTATCATAACCTAAAATAGGCCTAAGGCCCTTCCATCATAAATAGACATGCATCAATACGATTACAATATTGCTTTACAAATTACAACTTGAAACTTAAACTTCAACTTACATTCATCTAATATTACAACTTAAATTCAAATGACAACATAACCAATTACATCACTACTAGACTTAGGCAAAATAGCATGAACAAGATGCTAATGAAGCTACTACTAAATACAAATGACATGTTCATGCCCTAAGTCTAGCCTAGGCCACACGGCCAACAAAATGCAAAATATGAAGCACTCCACTGCTCACTCTACGGGCCTCTTGCCCGCTGCTCCGGCTCCACTGCTACCTCCTGAAATAAATGCCCCGAGACGGGGAGAGATATACGAATATATATCAGTAACCAAGAGGTTCTGGAGAAAACTCCACCCAATGGTTCACTTCGATGCATATCAATAGAATAAAACAACCAATTTTTAAAACGGGATATAGCAAGGGTTTTAGAGAGAGGGAATATAAAGATACAAACTACGACGATACAGGATGGTAACCCCAATTCCACGTACGCCCTGGGCATATATAAGCCTATGGGTATCATCCAAGGTGTGTTCACAGAAACCACAACCATGATGCCCAAACCATCCAAAACGCCAAAGACATTCCTAGTGTGCTCCTACCCGGATCACACACCATGACACGCAGTCAACTGGAACTCCCTCCTGGAGACCTATCCAGCGGAAGTCCGAAACTGCCCGAAGGCTAATAAAACTGTCTACTGGCCAGAGACTCGGTACATAAGTACCCATTGTAATAATGCATGCATGCTCATGTGTTCTATACTACTCATACACACTTCCTACCGTTGCCATCAACTGGCAAGGTGGAACAGAAAAGGGGAACAAGCCCCAGTACCAAGAGGTTACCTTAAGTAATTTCCTCACTAGCTCCGCAGCAGCTTATCCCTCAACTTGGTACACAGTAGAATGCCTACACAGAGGACATTCCCAATCTCTTATAATTCAAACAATACATGCTAATTTACAATTATACATGCATTGAACCAAATACATACCTCAATCCACTTGGTCCAGGACCAAGGGCAACTCCCAGATTCAATTTTCGGGATTCAAGTCAACGTACGGCAACCTATACAATCACGTACCACCATCAGTACGCGTCAAATATCATCAAAACGCAAAATCACAAAATCCTCACCATCCTCCTTTGATGGTTCGGCCATTCAAGTGTTAAATTGAGATTTATTTTTCTAAATTTTCTTTCTCATTTTGTTACGTCTCATTAGGTTGTCAATAGGCTAATTCAAGTGTCGTTTCGTTATTTTCGTGTCGAATTACATCAGAACGCGAAAATCGCAAAATCCCCTATTTTCTCCTTGGACGTTCGGCCATATAGGTGTTATTTGGGGATTTATTTTTCTAAATTTTCTTTCTCATTTTATAACACTTCCTTAGGTTGCTTAGAGGCTAGTTCAATCGTCGTTTTTCCGTTTTACGACATTTACGCATCGTTTTGCGAAATATTTCACTTTAGGCTCATTTAGGTCTCTAAACACAATCAACTTTTCCCATTGATTCAAACACTTTCCAATCACAACACAACCCATCTAAGTACCATATTACTACACAAATCATCATAAAAATCATTTTTCAACATCAATTCACTCATTTTTCCTCAAAGGTTCGAATCTTGCCCTATGACATTCCAAGGAATTTCCATTCAATTTTAATCATTCCAATTCCCACACAACCTATTATATCATCATATTATCATATCCCAATTCATCAACCAAAGTCTCAACATCAAATTTCACAAGTTCAAAGTCATGATCACCAAATTTTTCTAAGTTAAATTCATCAATTTTCACCAATAAATTTCATCGCATTTCTAGTTCTAATACATCATTCTAACACATTATCATCTAATACACATTTTCAAATTGAGCTCTCTAACATCACAATTCATCAAACAAAGCTTTAGGGTTCAATATTTCAATCTCATGAATCAACCAATCAAAAGGTGTAGAACTTACACAAATGCTAGGCAATGGACTCCTCCTACACATACTCCACCATTGGAGCATTCCAAAGCTCCATGAACACCAAATTTTCCCTCCAAGTCGCGGCTGAAAATAGGCAGGATCTCCTCCCACACGCGATTTCAAGGCTCAAGAAGGGTACCAATGGGTTTAGAAGGTTCTCCCCAACAAATTTCAACACAAGAATCAAGTGATTTGGTGGAGAAATGAGTGATTAATGTTGAGAAGAAAATTTTGCATAAAGATGATGGGAAAGAGAGGGGGGCACGGGTTTGGGGCTGATGAGGAGTGAAGGAGGTGATAAATAGTGTAGTGATGATGTGTCTTAAGTGACTTTCAAGTGGGGTGGGTCCCACGCCACCTCACGCGATTTAAAACGCGTCTAAACTTTCACTAAACGTCCGTAAATTCAAAACCTATTTAGAAACTCTAATTTTTAACATTAACTATTCTCCTTTAATTATGCTTGATCAGATGAATTCAGAGCCCTCCATTCGTTTAGAGAAAACACTGTTTTTAAGCTATCACGCGCGCCGTTGGCACGCTTCCCCAAAATGACTTACTTTCATCAAATTTCCTCAACAATCATATTTCCTAACTCATTAGACCATTTATAACTCATATTTGAAACCTAGAGCTCAAAATTCAACTGGCACGTTTTACGGTGCCATCGTAACGCGGTATTTTTACCTGCGAAAAACACTATTCACTGATTTTTCTGAAACTTGCCTATCCACTCAATTTTTCGTTCTGAACCCATTTCCAGGGTTATTTTTACCATATGAGACCTTCTACTCAATTTTTCTCTTCCTAGGGTTGCATGTTGGCTAATTCCCGTTTTGCCCTTTCTTTGTATTTTGGC